AAACCCCTTACGATGAGTTATGAACAACTGGAGTTTTGCCAAATCGCGTCGCGACCGAAATCGCGTGAGGTACCCGTGTCGCGTGCCCGTTGCCATACTTTTCCAGCGCGAAATCGATGGGAAAGTGAAAATGAATGTAAGTCGCGACGATGAAATTGCATGAACTCCGTCTCTGGGTCATACCTTCCGAAACGGCAAATTAGTACCAGAGTAATTAATCGAGGATAAAAGCATTGACTTGTAATCGGCTGGCCCCCGAACTCGCTGTAACAGACTCGTACGTATTCAGTTTCTTCAACAGTGGAGTAGAGTTCGTTCGGCGCATGCCCGCAGATGGTACTGGAGATGCCAAATCCTTTTCTTTTAACAGATAAATGGTTTTTCGCATGCTTCCAAAAGCATTTGCCTTCTATGGAAATTCAATCAATTCTAAAAACATCAGAGCCATCGCGTGCAAATGTGCTTATTGGGCGTAGGGCAACGAGCATACCTCACGCGATTTCAGTCGCGACACGATTTGGCAAAACTCAATTGTTCCTAACTCTCGTAAGGGGTTTCTGATTGTACGGAAGATAAGGCATTTTATGAAGCTACGAAAGTTACACATGCTGTGCATTTGGGGTCTGCTAGCATCGCATTTCAAGAGATCTGGCAATTTGCCAGATCGCGCGGCCACCGAAATCGCATGAGTGTGCCCGAGGCCTATCACAACCGAAATGAAAGTTGATCGGCATGCAATAGACTCGTAAGAGTTGTCTTGTCGCAATGAAATCGCGCGAACTCCGTCTTAGGCCTAAGGGGATTTTTTAGCCCAGGGGTAGAAGTGAATCTTGGTTCGATCTGGTCATAATGGTGCCTCATACCACTACGCCATTCGTTCTTTTTGCAATAACTTCCTAATAAGTCCTTTGAGCTTATTTTTACAAAAGTTGATTCTACAGATATCGGTCAGTTTTGCCGTTTTGCAATCACAAAACCTTACGACTGACTGCTGAGTATGCTTTTCCTCAGTTTCTTTGTAGAAAGCTCGACATTAGACAGAGAATGATAAAGTTATAACAGAACTTGAAAATTATTAGTTTACTCTTTTTGGCCTAGTTTAATAATATGACTGCTATGAAATCCGCGACTATCCTTTGATTCAACTAGGTGGGCGACTGGGAGGCGGGGTTTCGTGACCTAGTTAAGGTTAGAGGGTGGTCAGA